AGGTGAATACGAGAGAATTGATGCCATATTCAAAACCTGTTGACACCCAAGGCATTTAACCAAACCTGTAGACAGTGCAGTAAAAAGACTTTTACTAGGTTTGGGTGGAGAAGATTTCTGATTCAGTTAACAAAATTGCTAGTTGGTTTTTTTGTTTGTTTGTTTGTTGTTTTTTTTTTTGGCAGTGTGGCAGGCTTACTACTGTTAATATATCACATGGCCAATGGAAAAGTGTAGAATTGTATGCAACAGCAGAAGTATACTTTGGCTATACATTAACCTTTCTGGAGGAGAGGCACCATTTTGAGGTAGTTAATTAGTTCTAATAACAGGGGGAAAATTAACCTATGTCTTCAGCATTCGTTTTTGACACAGTTGCCATTAAAATTGACAGCACAATAGTCAACCATTGGATGTCAAGTGTGCTACTTTATCGTACTGTGAAACTTGAAGGTGGATGTTCCAGTGATGCTCTGACTAAAATGGTTTCTACATATGCTTTGTTCTTCATTTGTCCATTCCTTGCTTTGACAGACACTCATTTGTTTCTTCATCAATCTAGCCATATTGTACGTATTTCTTGTCAGTTTGCTGTGTGCCTTGGAAGCTGGTGCGGAGACCAAGACAGAACAGGCTCTTAGAGTAGTAGAACTCACTTTTGGTTGAAAACTGAGGATCACATTGAGTACATGATATTATTGTTTTCTGCTGTGGGTTATGAAAGAATCAAAACCGGGTAGTTGGCTTGAACATCTCCAGAGGTAGCATGTGGAATCTTAAGGTCTCATAGGAGGAATTGCATGATACAAAACCTAGATAGCTGCAGCCAGACCTAGGAAGCCCTAGAGTACCACTTTCTAGGCAGAAGGTGTAGGAAATACCTAAGTACCAAGACAGGAGCTTACTAAGAACCATTAGGAATTCTGGAAACTTTAAGCAGAGGGTGTATGATACTATCTGTCTTAGAAGCTGCCCTGGTGCTGTGTAGAGAATGAATAGCAGGAAGGAAGAACAAGTGGAAAGATGGCGTGGCTGACGCATGGTAATACTGAGACTTTGTAGTCTCTGCTGCAGCCATCTCAATTATAATACAGCTTGTCCAGGAACAGTGCATTCCTCTACCCCCACAATTGCTCTGTGTGTGTGTGTGTGTGTGTGTGTGTGTGTGTGTGTGTGTGTGTGTGTAAACGTAAGCTCTCAGATGTGGAGGTTAAAGAACAACTGAGAATGGGTTCTTTCCGTCTACCTCGTGTGTTCCCAGGATCAAACTCAGGTTGGTAGACTTGGTGGCCACATTATTGCCTTTTAAGACATATGTCTTCCCAGCATGCCACTAGCAGAAGACAGGTTGAGACAGAAGAACCTCTAGAAACTTGATGGCCAGCTGCTAGCCTGGCAGGTGCAGCAGTGAACAAGAGGCCTTGTCTTGAACAAGGTGGAAGGTGAGAACCAATACTCAAGGTTGTCTTCTGACTTCAGCATGTGTGCTGTCGCACCTGCACATGCACACTCACATATACACACACTTGCAACTACATACAAAAACTGTTAAGTGCGGTTAGGGTCATGGATACTGCTTATTTAAAATCTGTGATACTCGGCTACTTGTCAGGAAGATGATTGCCAGTTTTCACTTCTGCTAACATGGCATCATAAGCCGTCTTTGTCACTCTGGAAATGAAAGGCTGTCCTTTAAATTGCTCGGGGGAAGAAAGGGGAATGCTTTATTATGGTCTTGGCTGAAGGAATCCTAATCATCTTAGTTCACAGCAAGCTTAGTGGGAATTGGAATGTGTCAGGTAAACTCACTTGCTCAGCAGAAGCAAATCAGGTTGTTTTTCTGTTGTCTTCAGTGGTCAGCGTGTGTCAGAGTCGTGTGCTCTGTACACGCTCATTTAGATTTACACTTGCCGGATCCAGTGTGCTGCTGATGTTGTTTAGCACACACTCTGAGATCAGTTAGTGACCTGTATTCTTTCTCAGCCGCTTGCACAGTGTGTTGGGGGGGGGGCCTGCGATGTTTTAATTATGAAGAGAGAACTCAGAAAAATGAAATGCTATAATCCCCCTGAAAAGCTCTACTGTGGGAAATAGTGTAAACTATCACTTTGTCACCTCTGAGGACAAACAGACACTTAAATCAAGAGAGGAATTTCATCTTGGGATGGGGAAGGCAGAGTTTTACAGTGAGAACGGTTGGTGAATGTAGAGAAATCCCTGTGTCTGGTAGCATGCAAGGGAAACTGGAGGATGTATACACTCTGCTCTGCTTGGATGGAGAGAGACTTCATGTGCAGAGGGGGCAGCTGGATACCATCTCAGTGAGCTTGGTGCTCATTGGCCTTCACTGATTTGGGGTACATGGAAATTAGATAAAGACTAGGGAGAAAACGGACTCTGGCATTTTATGCGTAGGAATTAAGAGTTGTATCTTGCCCACCAGTCCTTGTGACTGTGGCCCTACCCTGAGAGGAAGAAAGGATTACTGGCTCATGGAGATGGCTCGCCAGTGTCCTCCAAGCCTTTGGAAGGACGCGTTCAGCTGGGGTTGTCATCCCTGCCTCTGGAGGCCAGGAAAGCAGAACCCAGTGGAGAGTTCTTGGCTAGAACTCTCTGACTGTTGACTGACTTGAGACCATGAGTCACCCTGCCACTATTGCCATCATGGGGCTTGAAGGAAATATTGGGAACTCCCCATGCTGTGGCCAGCAACCAGAGGTTTCAGTGTCGCAGGAAGCTACACTTGAGGTTTTGAATCTGATGTCCCAGCAGGAATGTGAAAGAAGTAGAATGGATTGCTTTGTCCAGCCTTTGTGTGCCGCAGAACGCCTGCTCTGGCCTGCCGCCTTCACTCTGTGTCCTTAACACTCCTGGAGTGAAGGGTGTGGGTCTGGGCTGAGGGTTCCGCAGTGACCGAGACTGGAGTTGGGGTGTATTCTGTGCCTGACCTCTGGGACCCTCACCCTCCTCTGTCTCCTGGTGTAATTTGCCAAGAGTTTGATATCTGCTGTTCTGCCTTGTGCCGCAAGAAACCAATAAGGAAGTGGCCAGGTTCGGGTTATGGTCCTGAGTGTGCAGCAGGTGATCCATAACAGAAGCGACTTGCTGAAGTGGCCTTTGGAGGCTGTCTTGTTTATAGGTAGAGCGTGATGTCAGGCTGGTGATACTGTAGCTCATTCTGGCTGGAGGGCTGTGGCCTCTGTGCATCTGAACTGTTCCATGTGTAAAGGATAGTCATCTAGATAATGTTCTCACGGGACCCTCACTAATCGCTGATTCCAGACCCTCCTTTCTGTCTGCTATGAAAACAATTTCTCTCATAAATCCCCAGGGTGAAATAATACAGTGTTGCCTTATATATCCCTGTGTGTTTGTACCATGATTGAGAGACTATGCAGCCTGAAATGGCCCGTGTTAACAGCTGTCATTCTCTAGTTTCTAGTATTTTTACCATTTTAGGGATAGGAAGGAATATTCATTTAGCTAATTTAATTAAAATTTATCAAAAACACTAGATTGATACTAATTGATATCCCTTGCAATTTAATTTTTTCCAAATCTTAGGGTTTTGGTTTTTTTTTTTTTTTCTCAAAACAGTTGTGGTGAATCATGGAACAAATATCACAAAGAAACTTACCAACTTGCCGTTTCCACCTATAAATGTCAACTTGAAAAGAGATGGGTTAGCCAGGCCTAATGGTGCAAAAGCCCAGCATAGTGTGCATGTTTATGATTTTAAGACTAGCCTATTCTATGTACACAGTGAAGTCCAGGCCAGCTGTAGCTACATAGTCGGACCCTGTCTCAGAAACAACAAACAAAAACAAAGAGATGGTCTCCTTGAATCACCATCACTTTGTTACTTAGAGCAGAGGTATTTATGTCTATTAGCTAAATAATAATTTCTTAGGACTAAATAATAAAGCACCCCTCCCTCAGAGTCTAAGCAAAGGATTATGTGGCCATAGCTTGATCGTCTGTGATTCTTGCCTATTTTCTCCTATTAGATGCGTAGCTCCTTCTGCTCTGCCAACACTGATTTCCACAAAAGAGCGGAGGTTTGACTTGGGCCCCCTTTTCCCAAGGCCTGTGTTCTCTGTCCTCAAAAGCCAGGCCGCCTCTTCAGTAGATTCGGCTTGGCTGATGACTGTGGTGTCTGTAGTCTAGACAGGAGGTTCTGATTCTAGAGAAGAACTATGAGGCAGAAAGAACGATCCCATGGTACTATGTAACATCATTCTGCCACACCCGTGTCGGAAAGAGGACTCCGTTGCTGTGGGGCAGGGGCTGATTTTAAGAAACAGCATCCCAACCATCTCAAATCTTTGGTTTGGTCAGCCTCCACATGTGGTCTGCCACTGATGTACAAACTGCCTAGCCTTTTCATACTCAGCCTGTCTTCTTTCAAGAAGTCATCCTAGGAACATAAGCTAGGCTGCTTTTCAGCATAGAGGACAGCATATGAGAAATGCTTTTTCCCATTCTTAAAAACTTTTTGGAACTGGGCCTGATGGTGCTGGCGTATAATCCCAGCTACTTTAGAGACTGAAGCAGAAGGGTCACAAATTTAAGGGCTGTGGACTGCAGAGTGAAAGAAAAGCCAGAGACAGTGAGTCCTGACTCAAATAAATAAATAAATAAATAAAAATAAAGCAGACGTGGATAGAGTTCCCCTATAGATAGAGCACTTGCCTAGCATGCATGAGGCCCTAGATCCAACCCAGCACTGTGAAAATGAACTATGAAGACAAATGCTTGTCATCTGGGTAGAAATGATGCCCTTGACCGATAAAGTGTAGGAGCGTGATATTGTTCAGTGAGAGAACACTTGTCTAGTGTGTACAACTGGTTCAATCCCCAGCTCTTATAAATAATAGTGATAACTGACGAGAAATTTCAAGTACCCTGCTTTTTATATACACTATTTAAAAAGAGAAAAGAAATACTGTGGGTCTGGTGGTGGTGGTGGTCAAATCACGTTTTCTGTGTCTTCTTTCTAGACATATGAAGATTCACGAGAAGGACACCAGCAGTACTACAACTGCCACCCCTCCGTCCCCTCTGAAGCGCAGGCGGTTGTCCTCCAAAAGGAAACTGAGTCACGATGCTGAGTCAGAGAGAGAAGACCAGGCACCAGCTAAAAAGGTCCTTTGAGTTAATAGCACAAATGTGCCCCATCATGTGACTTTTGTCAGAACTATCTAATCTTCATTATCACAGTGTAGAGGCATGGTCGACATCAATTCTGGGCTTATTTTGCTCTGTTTGTCAGGATTTCTCTGTGTAGCAGCCTTGACTATCTTGGAACTTACTCAAGGTTGGGCTTGAACTCAGAGATCTGCTTGCCTCTACTGGGATTAAAGTCATGCTCCACCATATCCCAGCTTGTGTGCTCTCTCTCTCTCCCTCTCCCTCTCCCTCTCCCTCCCTCCCTCCCTCCCTCCCTTCCTCCCTCCCTCCCTCTCTCTCTGTCTCATTTTCTCTGGGCTTTGAACTCTGTTCCCCACTCTGTTTTCATAAGTATCTGGGAAAAGGCACCTATATGTGCTTTCTCTTTAGAAGCCTCAGGTAGTACATGAATAAAATGAGTTTCCAAAGTTGTTCCCATGCTTTTTGCATTACGTATGTTGCTGCCTTCACATTTATTCCTAATCCCTTATGGATAGTACATGGTCCATAAGTACCTGTTGATTAGATGGGGGAACTGAGGAATGGGTGGGTGAACTGGGTAAATGTACAGTGGTAGTGTTCACTGAGTAGAGTGGATGGGTGGATGGGTAGTCAGTCAGACCTTGTTAGTGGGTAAAGAACATACTTTTTATTAGCACTTACTAGACTAATGTTAGACTCTTTGAAAGCAAATCTTTGTGAGAGACCACCTTGGTGATACCACTCTGCTTTTTCCTAAGATGGTAGAAGACGGGCAGTCGGGTGATTTGGAGAAGATTACTGATGAAGTCTTTCACTGTCCAGTGTGCTTCAAGGAGTTTGTTTGCAAGTATGGACTAGAGACCCACATGGAGACCCATTCAGATAACCCATTAAGGTAGGGAAAACGTGAAGTAGTTGGTGCTTTGGGAAATTACATGTTACTGTTTCTTCTGGCATATGACATTCTTATTTCTTGTCACTTCAAACTGGGCTCCAGCAACTGAGCTTATTTATGGGGATTTTGGGGAGACGCTTGAGAAACACATGGTGTGTAGAAAAGGTTGGGTTGAAGATTGTGAGCAAGCATGGCTGTAGCCATGGGCTCTGTTCACTTTGCTCCTTTGTTCTTACTGGGATCCCTTGAGCATTGGAGAATCTCCTGTCACGAGATACTTCTGTGTAACAGACTTTCTTTGCAAAATGTGTTGCAACCAAATTGATTGCTTGCTGTTCATGGATAAGTGGTCAGGGACAGCCCATGGATTTCATGTTTCCAGCACAGTGTTGACATGTACCAGGTGCTCAGAAGTGCTCTAATGAGCTGGACCCATAGTGCAGAAACCTGAAGCATTGTGGGTAAGAAAGAGTTCTCAACGTGCAAGGGGGAAAGCCGCTATGTAGTGCTTGTTACGTCTATGTTACAAGCACTACATCTATGTTACGTCTCAGCAACTATGTTTCTGATCCTCAACTTCAGGGGCTGAAAGTATGGGTATTTTCAGCAGTGTTGGAGAGGGGAACACTGCTCTGTCTTTGTCTAACTTCTCTGGTAACTTTTATCAGCGCCCTGCCCCTGCAGTCCTTCTTCTAGGTGAACAAATGGTTTAGAAATTTTTCCCACAGCATTGCTGACATTTGTATGTTCTATGTATATGTTCCATCTATTTTAAATTAAGCTGTAGAAGGACAAAGAGCTACATGGGAGCTTCTGCTCAAGCATATAGCTGAAGGTTCCTCTAAGAGCAGGCCCCCATGTTGTCACAGTTTTGGAAGACATCTTGGGAGTACAGGATTTGGGTATCTGCCGAAATTCTCAGTTTTATGGCAGTTTTCATGGGGGGGGGGAGCTTTTGGAGCGGTTAAGGTATGAAGCAATTACATGCTGTCAAGTGCCTGGATGGAACTTGCCAATCTAAGACAGCAACTAATGGACTGGCCAGTGTCTAGTGGGGTTCTCTCCCCATTCTCTGTGAGAATAGGTCCCTCTCTAGAAAGGCCTGTCTTGTGGCTCCCATCAGCTGCATCTGTATCTGTTTCCCCATTCACATTGAAGTAGGGCTAGATCAGTAATGCCTCTTCCAGTGTTTTCTTCCTATCCTCTCTAAATATGTCTCCGGACTCTGATCTAGACTCTGATCTACGAAGAAATAGCTGTCAATGAGTACTGATTCTAAGAACCTAGAATTTATTTTATTTTTTTGAGGCAAGATCTGTCTACATAACTTCAACTGTCCTGGAACTCACCTGTTCCAGGACTAGACTGTCCTGAACACTGAAATCTGCCTATCTTTTGCCCCAAGAGTGCTAGGATTAAAGGTGTGCACTACCACGCCTGGCAAGGTACTTAATTTCCACAGCATCTCCTGGATGTGGAGCTGTGGTGTGAAGAGTGAGCACTGCCATCACACAAGCCTCACCGTGAGAGGAGATAGGATAGAGCACAGACCCTAGTTCCTCCAGTCACACATTCAGTGCTCTTGTATATTTTTTATTTCAGTTCATATTTTATTTTGCGATCAGGTACTGTTTGGGGGACAAACTACTTTTACTTTCCTTGAAAATTCCATCGTACAGGGAAGTAGCCTGGCTCTCATGAGTGATTTCTAGGCAACGTGAATCTGCACAGCATGGTGTAGCTGTGACGAGGCGAGACCAAGTGTCCCTTTGTGAAACGCTGGTCTGGAAAGCCTTTTCCTCCAAGCAAATGGAGGTGGGAGCCACGTTAGACGTGAATCAATCCGTGAGCAGAATCATCTTGGTCATGGTGCACAGATGGACTGTGAAGTCAAAGCTCTGTAGTCCCTTTTGTTGCCAAAGCAGGTTTCCTCATATACTTAATGGTGACATCATGTGGTGAGGGTTCGGAGGAAGTTTCTTAGCATTGGATGGACTTAGCTCCTTCAGGCTGCTTTTCATTCCACTAACCCCCAGCAGCTAGCCATTGATGGCTTCTAAGAAGGGTGGCTTAGTGGCTTATATGTCTGGTGAGCAGACTAGCTCCAGCTTCATGGCTCTATCTAGTAACTACTGTGAAGCCGGGTAGGACTGACTTTTTAAAACCAAAAAGAGTTGATTATAGAACATAGTTAATTCCTCTTTTCTCGTCTCTCTACTCAGCTTCCACATAATAGCCTACTATCAGAAGAAGCCTTGGGGCCAGGCCTGGGCCAGTGGGGGCCTAGCTGGGGTGGTGCATTATGACAGTAGCTGATGGGAGAGACTGCATGTTAACCCAGAACTAAAATAGACACCAACTCCATTTTCAAATCCCAAAGGCTACCGCCACAGCGCTACCAGTTTAGAACCAGAGTCTGTAACTTAACACAGCTGTTGGTTTCTTTCTCCTGCCCTTGCCCCACTCCCTCCCCTGCTACCAGAGTTGGCAAGGTGCCCATGTTCCTTAATAAAGTGTTGGCAATCCAGGCTTGTATATATGCTGAATCTTTTCTCCTCCACTCTGCTGTGTTTCAAAATAATGAAGTTCTGGCATCAAACAAAAGGAAGATACAAAGTCCCTGGTAAAGAGTCTCGTTCTTAAGATCGTGTATTACTTCTGTCTTCTAGCTCCTGGGCAAGGGTAATAGGGCAGGGAAGAATGCTGAATAGAGCATGCTGTGCAGTGGCGTTCAGATCAGAACTATGGTGAGGGGCAGTGCAGCCTGCAGGTGGGTCCCGAGGGGAGAATGGTGCTGAATGTCATGCTTTGTTGTTAGAGGAGCTGCAGAGTAACAGACTGCACTGCTGGGAACGTAGTGAGCTGGAGCAGTGTGCAGACTCGTGCAGCTCAGCAGAACGACGGGACCCATGTGTCATGTGAAATTTTCTAGCTGTGAAAAGCGGTGTTAGTGATACAGTCTTACTTTTCACTGTTTTATGCTTAGTAATTGAAATCTGTGTGTCTGTGCAGTCGTAGCCCCTCTTAATGGAAAGCAGTCCCTTGCCAGGGGCCAGTCAGCCCACAGAGCAGGTTAAAGACAAGCCAGGATGCAGTGAAGCCTTCCCCAAGGGTGGGCTGTGCAGCTGGGTAGTCACCATGTTGATGAAGGAGCTGCCAAAAGCAAACTTGGCCCAAGTTATTGTATAATCTTAGGTGACTTCTTGATTAAAGGGGATTGGGTAATAAGTAATTTTAACATTATTTTAGTTAAAATATATCCAACAAATGACTGAGTCCTCATTGTGACAGTGCAAGGCATTTGACCGGTCTTGAGAAAAACGGGGATGTTTGGGGTGGGGCCTGGAGACTGATTAGAAAAAAAGGAAGGGGTGCCAACCAAGACACTGTGGCGAAGAGCTTTGGATGTGACATTGGATGTTGTGGCATTCTTAATTCCTTCCAGGTTATGGCCATCATTATGGTCACATTATTGATCTTGGGGTAAATTATGGTTTATGGCAGTGTCCTCAGATCAATCAGGATATGGGAAGCAAAGAGGGGTCTTTGGCAGACACCCAGGGTTCTGAAGGGAAGCTCAGCACTACCCTCACCAGAGTAAGCTGCAGGCCAGCCATGACCTTGCTGGGGATCCTGGCTATGGGGCCACTTACTGAGACATACCAGGATGTTCTTGTCTATGTTTCATGATTGTTTTAAGGAATATTCAGCTCCCTACACTGTACACCTACTACCCGCAGAGAAACCCTGAGACTCTTGGTGTGTCATTGACCCCATGTTCTCAACATGGTTAGCACAGGGCAAAGGTGAATAGAGTATTAGAGTCTTCTATTAAGACTCCAGGGGTCCAAGGATCAGCGAAGTGAAGATAGAGGCCTGTAAGGGCCTGGCAGTTAGAGGTGTCGTAGTTACAGCCTCTTCACCACCCAAGAATAGAGCAAAGCCCAGGTTCACCTGGCTTCAGAACCCTCAGTCTTCTCTGAGTCTTTAGACTACTCCCTGCTTCATGTCATGCTGGATTCGTTGAAGAGGCCTAGCTGGGTGCTCTTCTGTGGTAGCCAGCCTGCACATGACCCTAGGATGTGGCAAGGGAAGGCAACCCAGCCAGGGGTCCGTCACAGGCCGTCACTGCTGCTCACAACTGGGAGAGATTACTGCAGCTGTGGATGTCAGTTCTCTGCCCCACGATGGGCCAGGAAGGGTGGGCTGAGGGAAGAGGAATGTCTGGGTGGGGTGGGGCTCTAGACAAGGGATTGCTTGCACTTATTCCTTTTGGCTTCTGGAGACAGAGCAGAAAAAATGAAGCATGAAATCCTTTTTTAAAAGGAATGCCAGTCTCCTTCAAATCCTGTAATGAGCAAGGAGTTGGATCACAGGGAATCTGGCTGGCCGAGAGTCACCCCGGCAGGTATTTCATAGGTTCTGTTTACTGCAGGGAGTGGGGAGCTCTCAGTGTCAGGAAAAGTGCCCCGGGCACTGAGGATGTGACATGATTCAAGGAGGAGCTGGGACGTCTGCAAATGACTGTCCTCTGAGCAAGCAGGGTTACAGACAACGTGGTCCCAGCCTGCTGCCTGGTACCTCTGACCTCAGGCAAGTAGAGGCTCAGTTTCCCCATCTGGAAAATAGATTTGATGATTTGTGAAGATGGAGGAGAATGATCTGGGCCTGGAACTGCAACATATACTAAAGAGTTTTTTTTGTTGTTGTTGTTTTGTTTTGTTTTTGCTGTCTTAGAATGTGTTGTTTCTTGAAGGGTTTTTATTTATTTTGTGTGCGTACGTGTTTGTGTGGCAATGTGCTTTCATATGTGGGATAACCGACGTCACACCCAGTTTTAACGTAGATGCTTGGTGGGGTGGGGTCCTCATGTTTGAGCAGCCAGCGCTTCTCTGAGCTGTCTCCCCAGCCCACGTGTGTCCTTTTCAGTATTTCAAGCCCTCCAGCATAATAGTTAATGATTTGATGTGGTCTTTCTTGACGATCCCTGCCCCAGTGAC